TGAAAGTGTACTTTTAGTGTAAGTGTACTGTTTTTTTTACAGTATAAACTGCCTACGCCGATAGTTGAAACGTTACTTACCAACTTCCATTTCCATAAAGTGGTGCCAGAAATCGTAAGTACATGTATTGATTAGACGATACTTCACCAGAGAATCATTCACAGATTCAAAACAAATATATAAAGAATGTCGTAATTCGAAATTTTTAGCTTTAAAATGCGATTTAAAGACAACAACATCGCCAATTAATGTTTTTTTCTTGTACCCTTTTCCAAAAAAGCTGCGATTTCAAGGCGAACGTACCTCAAAAAGGTATTTTTAATCCAGAAATGCAAAAAAGCCTCGAAAAGTATAGTATTTTCTATAGCATTTCATTGATGAGTGGGAACGACCAATATGGCCGCCGCCTATTTTCATGGGGGAAACCGCTGAGATTTTTGGCTTCAGTTTTGTATTCCGAGATGCGCTATCTGGTGTATATGAGATATCTATGATGTAAACACGCGATGTTTTGGCAGATCTAAAATGTATTTCCGGTTAAAAATATCCCGCTGATTTCATTAGTTTCGCAACAGATTGAAATACCGAAATAAAAGACGAAAAACTAAGGCTACAAGCTTGAAAATAACACTTTCAATAGTGTTTTTGATTCTGTTTCGAATAAGACTATAGCGAAAACGATATCTCAAAAGGTGCCCAAGTTATGTTCGGCAAAAGGTATTGATAGTTTACATTGTTCGAGACAATTGATTAATATAATGAAATATGACACCGCTTGACCTGTCGAAAGGTCATAAATTGTTATACAATTTCACTAAAATTATATTTGACTAAAACTATCGACAGGTATGGGAGATATTGTTTCACTGAATCGAATGGTGGTATTTTCATCTACATAGCATGCACCCAACTGACGATATGACCCTGCAAAGTCGTAAATCATGAGTGATTTACTTAATAGGGACCTGTCGGGAAAGAGTTAAAGCCCGCCGCACATATGCACGAGAGAAATTTGCTGAGCTAACCGCCTCGCGTGGCGTCTAGCTCAGCTATGCATTTCTACCGCACACGTTGGGAAAACTTCTCAACAACAACGTATTGACAAATTCGCTTGCATTTTCCTCCATTGTGTTCAAAGTCACACGAAGAAACTATGTTTTTTTATTGGCTAATTGATTCAAGCAGCTCAGCACTTAGCTCACAACATCCGCAGACGTTGAGATTTTTTCCTCGCGAGGTGAAAAACTATCAAACACGATAGATATTTTCGTCAAGGTCTCGAGAGGACAAATCCTCACGAAAACTATATCCGCACACGTACGAGAGGAACTTGCTGAGCTAGCTGTCACGCGAGGCGTTCGCTCAGCAAGTTTCTCTCGTGTGCGCCAGGCTTTAGGATTTATTACATAGATCTCTCTTACAAACATTCTTTTACAGTTGATTTCACGAAACTTTGGCCACGCCAGTTGCGAGGTTGGTTGAGAATTTGGGAACTATAAACACGAGATCATCAAGTTGATTGGAAACCGGCCAATCAAATTTGGAAGTTTCGCATCAAATTATCGAAATTCGTTATGAAATTCCGAACCAAGTTCGCAAGCAAGTTCGCAAATTGCAAACGATTTTGACGGTAAATTTTAAAAACTAAACTTATTGTATTAAACTTATTCATTTAATAATAAATAATATAATAATAATAATAATTTCAGGATTAAAATTATAATAAGTTTATACAATAAGTTTAGTTTTTAAAATTTACCGTCAAAATCGTTTGCAATTTGCGAACTTGGTTGCGAACTTGGTTCGGAATTTCATAACGAATTTCGATAATTTGATGCGAAACTTCCGAATTTGATTGGTTGGTTTCCATTCAACTTGATGATCTCGTGTTTATAGTTCCCAAATTCCCAACCAACCTCGCAACTGGCGTGGCCAAAGTTTCGTGAAATCAACTGTAAACAGTTTTAATATGCATAAAATTTACTTATGTCAAGCTTTTATGTATTTGTGGGTTCAGCAGAGTGCCGAGGCATTCAAATTCTAACAATGCGTGCAACATAATTATTTCAATAGCTTTGGTTTTTTGGGACACCCTGTATAAACTTTCGAAATTCACGTTGTTATAATTTGACTGCCTGAGTCCTATACAGTACTGAACCCATGGTCATGGGTGCGTAAACACAATCGAATGGTATTTTCTGCATGGGAAGTTATTTAAAGGTTTTTGGTATCGTTCAATATGAATATGATTATGTGCTGATTAATTAACGAAGCGCCAGCGTGTAAAACAGTAAAAGCTCTTTGCTCTGTAGTCATGCAGGACCTGTTTATATGGAGGCGAGTTACCCAGCAAGGCGAGTTACCCACCCAGGTGGGACAAACAAGCGCTCGAGCTCGGTTTATATGGAATCGAGTTACCGTATTTAGGGGCTGTTTATATGCTCCCGCTACCCGGAATTCAATGAAGTGTGACGTATTTTGAGCAATTGAAATAAGTCGCAGTTCATGATCTACCTAGAAATACATGCATGCAGTAACCCCTCGCCAATATTTTCCAAACATTAACATGAAGTATTCAGAAATGACCAACACTGAACGCAGGCTCGCGCTCAAGTGTTGCCATGACAACACGATGTTCTTAAATTTTTAATTTTTTCATTTTTTGTACAAAACTGCCAAATAGTTGAAAGATTCGTACTTTTAACTATACAACAATAAATTTCCGAAATATATACTGTACGTATATTATTTTGCATTTTGTGAGCTTTGATTTAATGAAAATTTAACTTGAAACGCTTCGTAAAATGTTTTGAAATGTTCATTCAAGTAAACTACATTTTGCCGATAAACTGTTTTTACTTAATAAAACATAAGAAGTTTAACACAAATAAACCAAATTGTTAGGTAATTTCAGTTCAGTCTTCAAATCAATTTGTTCGCCTTTACATTTTAAGATTTTTTCTCAAATTAAACGGTGATTTATGAAACTTAGAGCTTCGTTGAAAAGGAAAACAGTTCATGTTTTTAGGCAAAAAGTTCAAGCAACAAAATTCGTAAACATTAGATATCCAAAGCAAACTTGCCGTATATTTCACGATTTCCCATAGTTTATCAATTCTTCTCATTTCCGAAACAAAATTGCTTCAAGCTTGTTGTATATGAAACGATTTTCCAAATATATGTCTTTTAAAATTGAAATCTTAAACTTGCTTATCCCACTCTACAAGCAATCAGCCATATTTTTGATCAGTGAGGATGACCACCCACTGAGGATGAACGCCCGCGATCATTGATGAACTTTAGACTTCGCTAATGCTTTCGTTTCCCCGGGTGTAAATAGCCGGGGGGAATTAGTACCCTCGCACGGCGCTTCGCGCCGTCGGCTCGGGGACAAAATTGCTTGTTACAAATTGTCATGAAATTCCATGTTTTAGACAAAAAAACAAATGTTGCTGAATGTTATTAATCGGTCTTCTTCCACTACTCGTAACTTCTGGCGCGTTCCTAATTTCGTTTAAACAATATTTAAAGTTATCCAACTTTTGTTTAGGGCTGAAACACGTATTCAATTGCTCAAAATACGTCACACTTCATTGAATCCCGGGTAAGCGGGACCATATAAACAGCCCTTTACTCGTTTGATCGCCGCCCCCGATTGAGCGCCGCCACCGAATGAGCGCCGCATTTGAGATCAATTTTTTTTAAAGAGCGCCGTCCCCGAATGAGCGACGCACTAATTGCAGCAGTTGGACTCGGATCGTGGGGAGGACAGTAACATTGATATTTTGTAAACTTGTAAACAGTGCAAAAACTTCCGCCGTCAGAACGGGGAGTTTAGTGACAAAGACATTTAAAACTTGTTTATTTTAGTATTGTTAAAAGTTCTTGTTATAATTCACAAATAAAAGTTTTTTTAAAGAGCGAGCGCCGCTTCTGAAGCTCTGAAAATTTAATGGCGCCAAAACATAAAAATTTGTTTGAAACGCTTAAAAACATTACCAAATGTCGTCCAAATACAAGATTAAGCGCCGGGAAATTTAGGAAAACTTATCTATCGATTCGTATGTATATTTGAGCTATTATATTTCAGATGCAAAGCACATATATTCTATCTCGAGTTACCCGGGCAAAGTGTTCACATGGTAAAATATTCATCTCGCCTAGGCGATTTCCCACCTCTTTCTGCCGGGAACTCGCTAAGGCGCCGAGTTACTCGACTGCATCATACAGGGTGTATAAAAAAATGTACATCCTTTCAAATTCAAATTAACCGTAACCTATTGTAGTAATTTGACTGCCGTATAATTTCTCGAATTAATGAATGCGTGAAAACACAAGGTCTGCTGCACATGGGAATTTAGGATAACTTCTATTTGTAAGAACAAATACACAACTCAAAGAAAAAGGTTTAAATTAAGCATTATTCAAGTCTGCATATCCTGGTATAAAATGGGCCAGCTTGCTGCAGAGCAACGAATATTTAAAAGTTATGGCTAATTTGAAAGGGTGTATATTTTTTTATACAGCCTGTGTATAAATAGTCACCCGGGGGTTACAATAAGTTTCTACAGTACATAATAGCCGGGATCTCGCCGTTGCCAAAGTAACTCGCCTTGCCGGATAACTTGCCTCTCAGGCCCTCAGTTGAAGTACTGTTTAATAAACGAGCAGGAGTGTTTTATTAGGTTTAAAGCCACGAGCGCGCAGCGCGAGTAGCTTTAGCTAGACCTAATAAAACACGACCTGCGAGTTTATCAGTTGAACGGCTTCAAACGCGACTACAAATTCAATAGGTTTTATCAGGTTTAAAGCCACTGCACGTGACATATTATAGTTAACATGATTTGCCAATAAGCTTATGAATTATTAATGATGTTTGAACCAGTTTTAATCGATCTGACGGGACTAATTTCTATAAGGGGCTGTTTATATGAGAGGCGGGACGGGATGTTTGCCGGGACGGGACGATTTATACATCCCGGGTTGAGAGCTGTTTACATGATGTCACGGAATTCTTGAGAAACCGGTCTTGGTCACATTACAGGACTACTACTCTACGATGTACTTTTATAAATTTTAATAAATAACGGAAAATATAAACTTTTATGTTAAGTCAGCCATCTTGGTTCTTCCCCGAATAAAAAGTGTCCTTCCCCCCTGCAGAGCTACACAGCTCCCCCTAGCGTTAGTTTTCAATTGAAACTAAAGATTTGTGACATGACTCCCTTTTTTGAGAAATTTACAAAATTTCATAACAAAACGCAAATCTTTTCCAATGAGTATCAAACACCGTCTCTTGAATGTATATCAAGTTTATAACAAGTCTCTAATGAGTATCAGACACCGTCTCTTGACTATCAAACTAGTCTATAA